AAGCTAAGTATTTCCTTGGTTTGGAAATCGCTCGTTCTTTTCAAGGGATCTCGGTTTGTCAGCGGAAGTATGTATTGGAGTTGCTCGAGGTCACTGGCTTCCTCGGTTGTAAGCCTTCTTCTGTGCCTCTGGATCCAGGTGTGAAGTTGACGAAAGACGCAGGCACTCCCTTGACTGATCCCACTTCTTATCGCAAGATTGTTGGCAAGTTGATGTACCTCCATACCACTAGACCTGACATCTCCTATTCGGTGAACACTTTGTGTCAATTCTCTCATGATCCTCGTGATGTTCATCTCAAAGCGGCTCACAAGGTTTTGCGTTATTTGAAAGGATCCGTTGGTCAGGGTCTCTTTTATGCCGCTGATTCCTCCTTTGATCTCCATGGTTATACTGATTCTGACTGGGGCACCAGTACTGATGATCGCAAATCCATCTCTGGTTATTGCATGTTTATTGGTGACTCTTTAGTCTCTTGGAAATCGAAGAAATAGGACACTGTCTCTTGTAGCTCTGCTGAGGCTGAATTCCGTGCTATGTGGTTTGGCACTAAGGAGTTGATTTGGCTGTCACACTTGCTCGTTGATCTCAAGGTTCCTTTCACTCCTCCTGCTTACCTTTATTGTGACAATGATGCAGCTATTTACATTGCCAATAACTCTGTCTATCATGAACGCACCAAACATGTTGACATTGATTGCTACAAGTTTCGTGAAAACATTGATTCTGGCTTCCTGAAGACCATGTTTGTTGCTTCTCAAGATCAGTTGGCTGATTGCCTCACGAAGCCGTTGCACCCTACGTTGTTCCATAGCTTGATTCGCAAGATGGAAGTTTGCAACATTTTTTAACCTCCATCTTGAGGGGGGGGGTATTTAGCCGTTGTACATTTAGATAGGTTTATTTCGGTTTAGTATCCGATTCAATAATAACCATTTGTGGTTTAGTTCAATTGTGTATAAGTAGCTTGTATTAATCTTTTAGCTCATTAATGAAGATTATCTTAAACTTTATCTCTTTCTCTCTCAAGATCAAATAGCTAATAAGCCTCCTCCGCCTAGCCAATTCGACTCTGCTCTCCTAAAACGATCCTTTGAATTTGTAGAAATTTCACAATCTTTGGGATACAGATCTCTGAGATTGGGAAATCTCAAGGAATCCAAAGTTGGGTTCATTGGTTCTCAGCTACATGGCAGATGAGTAAGGGTTTCTAGTTCTCTCTTCTTTTTCGATTCTTACTATAATCTTATTGAGATTTCCATCTCCTTGTTTTCGTTTCCTCTTCTTATTCTTCTTCGTTTTGTGTTGGTTGTTCTTTAATATGTTCCCTAACTACAGCTATGGTTATTGGTGAAGGATGACATGTTGTGTGACAATTTCTTTTATAACATTGATCTTGATGTGCCTGAAGTGTTTCGTTTTTAATAATACTAGGTAAATACCCACGCTTCGCTGCGGGAGAATGCCATTTAATTTTTCTGAAGTTTGAATTAATTTAATTAAAGATATTATTTAACTTTTTCTATTAAATTAAAATGGTTTAATGGTGTTATTGATACCTGAGGGACCTTTATATTCATGTGATTATATTTTAAATTATAAAAATAACCATTTAGATTATAATTACAGGATCTTGACCATATCCAAACTTTATCAATTAATATTCAATTTTTATTTTACGAATAAATTTTAAATAATAATTTTTTCTTTACCCACTAATACTTGATCCTAAACCCGCAACATTTAGACTTTGATAGTATTAAAATTACTTTTTTAATTATAGAAAAAGGAAAGTAAAGCATTTCATTAGGAGTTTAATTTTTATTCATAGAAAAGAGAAACCTAAATGCATCAACTCGAAGTAAACCGAATTTTCCCCTTGCAACTTTTTTTCAGATTCTCTTCTTTTAACATAATTATTAGGTTCTAGAAATATTAAGATATATATTATGCCACTTAAAATAAAAATAAGATCTCTTGAAAATTTCTGTAACTCTTTTTTATTCTTTTAGCATATCTTCTTCAACATTTGTTTTTCTCATCTCAGTCAATTATTCTTTATAACAACAATTCATAATCCCTATCAATATTAATCACCCCCTTTTTATTCTTTTAGCAGTAATCGATAACTCTCCCCACTGTCTTAATCGCATTCCATCCTTTAGCAACGTAATTATCGCCTCCTTGTTCTTGTTGTGTATTCCTCTCTGACCAAACCATAAACATCAAATCACGGTTCCAATACAAGATTCATTTCCAATAGAAATTCACAAAAGAAAAATGTCATACTTGCTGATTGAATCCATGAAGACGACAAGCGAACTTCGAACGTAATTCCGACACGGCGGTCGTAATTCCGACACGGCGGTGGAAACTTACTGGAGAATCAGGCAACGAAGCATCATATTCATATAAATTATTTAGCTGGAGAGAAGAAACGGTGAAGAAGAAGGAGATGATGATACACGATAACACGACAAACAAAATGGCTTAGTCTTAAATATGATTAGGCTTACATTTGATCCCTCAAAAGCCCATAGGCCCAAATAGTCTTATCTCCGACTCCGGTCGTATCATTTCTTCGTTCACCGCCGTCAAACCAAACACCGCACAACTTTCTTCGGTCGTAGATTCTGCTCCTCTTCATGCTCTTTTGATGTTTACAAAGAGAGCTTTGTTTTCCCAAAGCTAATCATGCTTACTCCTTATCCAGCGAATGTCATTTTTCGTTTGAAACGGTCAATTAAATCCACAAATTTCTGAGTAATCTCTCCACAGCAGTTTAAAGCTTGTGATTGCAGTGGAGGAGAATAACAGAGAGAGAAGGAGGATCAATTGTAGCGGAGGAGAAATAGAATGTCGGGAGAGTAGATCTGATTTTGTTTATGTTTTGAGCTGACGTGGTTAAGAATTTAGCTGACTGGTATTAACTCAAATGTTTCCATTGGCTAGTTGTTTTTAATGATGTGTCACTCTCAGAAACCTTCAAAAATCCTATGTGTCATCACCTGGAGAGGCATAGGGTTTTTTGCTGTGTTGATTGATTTTCTCACATGTTCTTTTGCTAATTTGTTATGGTGTGAGGATTTCTCGATATCTTACTAGTATGAATATTCCCTGTTTGTTCATTAATCATGGGTCATTATGCAGTCTGCGTTTGTTTCTCTTTTTATTTGCTTTTGCCATGTGTTACGTTTCTCATTGTGAGTTTCCTTTCAAAACAGGTAAGGTATGTTTCGTTACATGAAGCATATATTTTCACACCCTACAAAACATAATTGATTCTTATATTAGAATTGTAAGCATGTATTAAACCCACGAATGATGACGTTTACTTACCTTTCTTCTGCTAGGATCAGCTCCAATGTTGTACCTGACCCGCACTTGTATTTCACTATTTCTTCCAAGAATGAAGAACATTAACTTGGATTTTCAACCATGTTTTAAAAGGCGTCACATCCATCATTAAGGTATTTGAAAGGAGAAGGAGTAGCACCTATTTTGCTTATATGTTTTTCTTTCTTTCTTTCTTTCTGAATGATAAATCCACGTGTTGTATCTTAGGCTTCGGGTCGGGTTTGTTAATTTTGTTGTTAATTTTGGTTTTAATGCTGTTTGGAAACAGGGATAGGGTCTTTTGTATGGTTGTTTTCTTATTTTGTTCCTCTACTTTAATATTATTGTAGATTTTATTTATATGATAAAGTCATAAAACAAAGAAAATATACTACTAGATGCTACAAATTGGGAAGAAAATCAAATACAATAGTAGGACTACATAAAGACTAGGAGAGTATCCGCGCAATGCGCGGGATTATATTAGTATAATTTTTTAAAATATTCTTTTATTCCAATAAAAACATGAATAAAAAAAATTATATTTATAATATAATCAGTAATACTATTTTATCTTTGTTGGTCAGAGTTTTGTCATATATAATTTGTTTAAAACATTGCCAATTAAGAGGTTCTTTTTTTGCTATTAATACTTTGGGAGGTTCAAGTTGGATTTGTATATGGTTTATTGTTTTAATATCAATATCATGGTGATCGAAGTGTGATTTATCTATCCCCTACACTTATGTTTAATCATATGCCAAATGATTGAGATCAAGTTTCTGACAAAGCTTACAAACTAATGGGGCAAGCTGAGATGCATATGCCGATTAATACAAATTGGCTTTTAGACTCACTAACTACTTTTTCTAATAAATTGTATACTATTTGAGTATTTGTTGATATTTTTAGTTGTTTGTTTCCTTGAGTTTTGTATGTATGATAGATTTGTTACTATTTTTTTGCTATAGTAGAAAATAATGTAACCAATACAAAAGCATAGCTAAAGCAAAATTTAAGTCTGGATGTGCCTACATTCTTAATTGAGAAAATACGGACAAAAGAAAGTAGTAGTTTTATAAGATTATAAAATAATTGTAAAACGGAATAGAGTGAATACATAAATCCACATTCCTAAGAAAACACAAGACAATGTTTTTGGGCAGCTACCTATATACAGAAAGAAAGCTAATCTTAAAGTCATTAAAGGTATTTGACATTGCAATGAATGATTTAATAAAGGCATCAACATAGTTCGATATCAAACCACATTTAGACCAAAAATGAAAAGAACACATTTGACAAAAAAAGAAACAAACAAAATGAACACATACACCATCATCTTTTGGCATCTGTCGACATCACTCATCGAATCACGCAAATGAGTCTTGCTAATACCTTCAACATGGCCCTGTGAGAGTGTTCAAAAACTCTGAACAGTTCAAAAATTTACATCTCATACCATTGACAAACTAAGATAGAGAAAATCATTAAAAGACTATACCTTCGATTCCTCCCACGCCTCGGTTTCACAAATCAGAGCCCTTGATGACGCCATACTGGTAATCAAACATCAACACAAAACACAATTAACTGTCAAATATAAACGAATTTCGTTCATTATGCAGCTATGATTATAGGAAAGTTTTCATATTATATACCGCTCATAGTTCGATATTATGCACCGAAGCCAAAACACTCAAAGCTGCTTTCAAAACATCTTGAGAGCAATCCGGTTTTACTATCGTCCTCACCTGACAATTACAGTAGCAATATATCAACAAAACTGTGGCCTTGCCAATTCCATAACATAATAAAAAAGATGAAAAAAATGTGGAACCTGATCGAGAAGCTCCTGCAGTTCCTTGATTCTCCCCATGTAATCCTGCTCTTCTACACACAGACTTGAGCAAACCCTCATTTG